GAGATCAAAGATGTCATAGAACAAAAGTCAAAGCAGATGGTAATGGTTATAGAGAAAACAAGGCAAGAAGAGCAGGAAAGTCGATGTTTCGGGTTTACACCCTTCATCCTGATGTGCTTTCAGCTCTACACTGTTTTGACTCTGACTCCAGCATCTGCAGTTCTTGCTATCCCGAATGTTTTTCAGTATCCTGGTTTATCAGACCAGGACAAATCTGGATCTAATTTGGGTGCCACCAGTGCCAATTAACTCCTGACTTCATTAACATGGCTCAAACATGAACAAAAAATTGAATTCCGGAAGTGAAGAGGAGTGACAACCCTTGACATCAAGAAGTCCTACAAGAAGTCCTAGCAAAATTGGAATCAATGGAAATCAGGGGTAAACTCTCCATTGGTTGGAATCGTACCTGCTACATAGGAAAATGGTTGTGGCTGTTGATGGTCAGCCATCTCAGCTCTAAGACATATTTGCAGAAGTTCTTTAGGATAGTGTCCTAGGCTCGACCATCTTCAGTGGCTTCATCAATCCCTTTATCATAAGGTCAGAAGTGGGATGCTCGCCAATGATTGCACAATATTCAGCACAATTCGCGTCTCCTCAGATTCTGAAGTAGTCCATCTTCAAATGCAACCAGATTTGGACAATATCCAGGCTTTGGCTGAGAAGTGGCAAGTAACATTTGTGCCACATAAATGCCAGACAATGACCATCTCCTATGAAAGACAATCTAATGACCGCCTCAATTTCTTTCTTACTCATTCACGGGATGTGGGCATCTCTGGCTAGGCCAGCATTTATTGCCCATCCATAATTGCCCAGAGCGCAGTTAAGAGTCAACCACATCGCTGTGGGTAGACCAGACCAGGTAGGGGTGGCAGTTTCCTTCCCTAAAGGGCACTGGTGAACCAGATGGGTTTTTCTGACAGTCAGGAATGGATTCACAGTTATTATTAGACTCTTAATTCCAGATTTTTATTGAACTCATCTGCTGCAGCGGGATTCAAACCTGGCTCTCCAGGAAATTATCTGGATTAACAGTCTAGCGATAATACCACTAAGCCATGACTTACCCCAGTATAATACTGCCATCACTGAATCCTGAACTGTGAACATCGTGGGGGTTGCCATTGACCAGAAACTCAACTGGACTCATCATATAAATACGGTGTCTACAAGAGCAAGTCAGAGGGTCGGGATATTGCAGTTTGTAACTCATCCCTTGACTCCCTAAAGCATGTCCACCATCTACAAGGCTCAGTCAAGAGTGTGATGGAATACTCCCCACTTGCCTGGGAGAGTGAAGGATCAACAACACTCAAGAATCTTGACACAATCCAGGACAGAGCAGCCTGCTTGATTGCATCACATCCACAAACATTGACTCCCAGTACCACTGTCGCTCAACAGCAGTGTGTACTATCTACTGGATGCAGTGCAGGAATTCACCAGAGATGCTCATACATCACTTGCCAAACCCATGAACTCCTACATTTAGAAGGACAAAGGCAGCAGATACATAACAACACCATCAACTGCAAGTTTCCTTCCAAGCAAACTTAGCATTCTCACTTGGAAATATATCACTGTTCTTTTTCTGTTCCTCAGTCAAAATCCTCGAATTCCCTCCCTAAAGGCATTGTCGGATTACCTACAGGCACATGGAATGCAGTGGTTCAAGAAGGCGGCTCACCACCACTTCTCAAGGCATCGAGGGATGGGCAATAAATGCTGGCCAGCCAGTGACGTCCACTTCCCATGAGTAATTAAAAAAAAGCCCGGAAACTTTAAATATCATTTAGAACTCCATGACACCAGGTCCCCAATAAGCGTTAGCAGATTTTTATTCTCATTCTCAAAGTAAATCTGTGATGAAGTGTGTAGACATTTTACTTCAACTTGTTGCTTAGGTTGGACACATTCATTTGTGTTCATTCATTGCGTTATTCATGTTCACTTCCTCAGCTGTATTTCTTTGAGGATTACTTCTTTGCTTTGCGTGAATTCTCTTGCTGGTATTTACAATTCTTCCTGTGAAAATAAGGAAACTAAGTTCTCTGTTTAAAGTCATATCTTCCAAATCACCTCAGCGTGTGATATCACACTTAAATCTGTTAGTACCGTTTGTTCTGTTTACTACAATCTAAGGTGAGAGCAACTGCATTTGACTTATTAAGGCAGCATTTGAATGAAAATGGCATCAAGGAACTCCTGCAATAAGACAGAAAATGGGAACTAAGGAAAAACTTACAGCTATTTGGAGTCATACCTACTTCAAAGGAAGATGATTGTAGTTAATGGACCAAAAAAAAAAGAAATTGCTGGAGAAACTCAGCAGGTCTGGCAGCATCTGTGTAGAGAAAACAGAGTTAATTTTTGAGTCCTGTGACCCTTCTTCAGAATTAGAAGCAGGTAGGGTATGAAGTAGAAAAGAAGGTAAGCCTTTAAGATACAGTTGTAAAGGTGGGACCATATCTACTATGTACACTTTCGGTCTCGTCATTTAAGGAAGGATAGATGTACATTTGAAACAGTTTATAGAACATGCATAAAGCTGATTCCTGTGTTATGAAGAAAAATTTAAGCTTCTGCAGGGTAGATGCTGACAGAATATTTCCCCTGGTAGGGAGATCTAAATCGGGGGCACAGTCCAAAAATAAAAGGTCTCCCACTTAAGACAGAGATCAGGAAGAACTTCTTTTCACAGAGGGTCGTTATTGCTTGGAATTTACTTCCACACAGAGCACTCGAGATTGTGCCATTGATTATATTCAAGGCTGAATTAGATTAGCTTTTTTTAAATCTACAATGATTCAAGGGTCATGAGGGCAAGGAGGATCAGCTTAACATTATTATCAAATGTTTGATTAGTAGTTCATTATTATAGGCATCTTAATTCAAGCTCATATAACTTGCAAAAGCATTGCTAAGTAATGGGTTTGCAAGTGTGCTTGTTCAGAATTCTTACTCCTCTGGAGGATTCAGAGTAGGTGCAGCAACTTTCTAGCCCATGGTGGCCACATCAATACATGTCTGGCTGCAAATTGTCATCGATGAAGTAGATTCTTCAGTTGTGCAGAAATAGAGAATGTTAAAGCGAGTGTTCAACCTGCTCAGATTGACCAATGATTCCTTCCACCAATAGTTGTTACAGGGATTGCATCCATTTGTGTCTTTGATATGCTCAGGGTCCCACACAAATTGCATGGCCTGAACAATGCCTTTGCTGTGAAAGCATCTTCAAAATGAAGAAATAGTTTTACAATGACTTGGGGTCTGATCTGACAGGCCATCTGAATGGAGATTACAAAAGGTACATGAATATGTAGCATAAACAGATGGCCTTCATGCAGATAGGTGAAAGTCGACTCCATTTTGTTTCTTCTAACAGCAAAACTACAATCACATTCAAGCTAAATTTGTAAAATCTGTTTCTGTGAAAGAGAAGTATTTCACTGTGGACATTATGAAAAGAACAAAAAACAAGAATTCAGCTGGAGGGCTTGAGTTTATAGAAATGTGGTGTAAGGTAGGATGGCAGGAGTGTTAAATGGTGGATTGATTTGTAGTTGCAGCTCTATGAAGGACAACTTATGGTGCCAGCTACCATGATGTTTTAAATATCCAACACCAATGTATCAGGTTTACTCATCACCAAAATCATAAATCTGAGTCACCATATAGAGCTTTGGCAAAAAAACACAGTAATAATGAATAATTCAATTTATTTCGTAAGAGAAAGTTATTATTTCTATTGTTAATTTGTCCAGGTGAATACCATTTGCTTTTAATTTTACAGCACTTTTCTATTATATTCATTAGTTACCAATATTTAAATGACCTTTTCAGTTTTAAGGTTCAATACAAACAGAAGTTGCAACAATGTACCACTGCAAAATTAAGGTACTGAATCATGAAATTTGTTTGCTACTTACCGTCAGGAAATTGTTCAGCATCATCATCAAACATGGCTTCCTTTAAGGCAGACTTATTGATAGAAGTGCTATCAGAATAATTATAAGGATTATAATCACGTGATCGTGAGCTACTACGTTGGGGTGTGGTGTTCACCAGTAATGTTTTATTGTCCAGAGCAGTTCGTCCTGAGTCAGTGGCATCACCACCTCCTCGAATATCGCTAACTCCACCAACAGCCTAAGGAACGAAGTGGAAAAATAAGTATCATTAGTTGAACCATGGTTTGAAGGAATTCAGAAAACATACCACTATACTACTACTCACCCATACCTACGTCTCCCTTTATGTCCTATTATGAATGATCTGTTTCAAATGATCATTCATTTGTAAAATCAGCTCACTGGTACCTTGTTCACATGTCCACTCTAAATGTGGAAACCTAGTAAATAGGTACTTCTCCACTAATTTAACTTAGAGTTAATGGTGCCAAATGGCATTTCAGTTAAACTCAACTCAGCACTAATATTTCTAAACTACCTTTGGATTGAGAAAAATGAAGATTTTTTATCAAACTACGACAAAAACAGCACAGGAGGTTGTCACTGGATCTATCATGGATGGAAAAGCTGACAGCTTTTTTAAAATGTAATGTATTTTTATTGAACACTTCTAATAATTCATTCAACTGTCCATGCACTACCATTCCTTGCTGCAAATTTGCCCAAACAGCTTCAGTCATCTTTCTACTCATACATTTGGAACTGACTTTATTTCTGTTTAAAATTCTTGTTTTGGACACAAGTATGTTGCTTTCAAGCTTAATATAGAATTCACTGTGTTATGATCACTTTTGATCTAGAGGCTGTCCACAGACACTCTGGACTGATTAATTCTGGCTTATTACATAATGAAAAATCTAAAATATCTTTTAGATTCATAGAGTTATACAGCATAGAAATAGACCCTTCAGTCCAACTTGTCTATACTAACCAAGTTTCTCATTTCCCATTTGCTTGCATTTGGCCCATATCCCTCTAAACCTTTCCAATGTATATACCTGTCCAAATGTCTTTTAAATGTTGTATTCCACATTTGAACCACCTTCTGTGTGAAAAAGTTGCCCCTCAGGTTCCTTTTAAATTTTTCCCTTCTCACCTTAAAATTATGTCCTCTAGTTCTGAATTCCTGAACCCTAGGGAAAAGACCTTTGCTATTCACCTTATCTATGCCCCTCATAATTTTATAAACCTCTATTTGGTCACCCTCAAGTTCCTACATTCCAGTGGAAACAGTCCCAGCTTATCCAGCATCTTCTTATAACTCAAACCCTCCAGTCCTGGTAACATTCTTGTAAATCTTTTCTGCACCATCTCCAATTTAATAGTATCCTTCCTATAGCAGGGCAACCAGAACTGTACACAATACTCCAAAAGTGGCCTGACCAACATCCTCTACAACCACAACATGATGTTCCAACTCCTGTACTCAATGGTTTCCGTAACGAAGGCAAGCGTGCCAAACGCCTCCTTTACCACGGTGTCTACTTGTGTCGCAACTTTCAATGAACTATGTACCCGAACCCCTCGGTCTCTCTGTTCTACAACATTCCCCAGGGCCCTACCATTAACTGTGTAAGTCCTGACCTTGTTGGTCTTACCAAAATGCAATATCTCGCATTTATCTAAATTAAACTCCATCTGCCACTCCTCAACCCATTAGCTCAATTGATCAAGATCTCTCTATAATTTTAGATAATCTTCCTCATTGTTGACTATACTACCAATTTCAGTGTCATCCGCAAAATAACTAACCATGCTTCTGAACTTCTCATCCAAATTGTTTATATAAATGGCAAATAACAGTGGACCCAGCACAGATCCCTATGGAATACCACTGATCACAGGCCTCCAATCCGGTACAACAACACTCTACCCCACCGTCTGTCTCCTACCATCAAGCTAATTTGTATCCAATTAGCAAGCTTACCCTGAATCCCATGTGTTCTAACTTTACTAACCAGTCTACCATGTGGAACCTTGTCAAAAGCCTTACTAAAGTCCATATAGCCGTCGACCGTCATCTATCTTCATGGTCACATCCTGAAAAACCTCTATCAAGTTTGTGAGACATGCTTACCCATGCACAAAGCTATGCTGAATATTCCTAATCAGTCCCTGCCTCTCCAAATACATGTAAATCCTGTCTCTCAGAATCCCCTCCAACAACTTACC